TTTTCCCCCCCTTTCTCTCTCTCTCTCTCTTTTTCCCCCCCTTTCTCTCTTTCTTTCTTTTTTTTTTTCTTTTTCTTTATAAATGTAGCGTTAGGCATGCCAACACAATCACTGTGAGCAGCTGCAAGCTGCCTCCTTCACCTGTCTTCCCACCCCCTAGAGCATGAGATGGTTCAGTTCCCCAAAGTATTTGGACCATTCAGTTTGTGACTATGTTAGTACTAACAAAACATGACTCAAGCAGTGGATACACAGCTTCACTGGCTTGTTTTTTGTGTTTGTTTTTTTTTTCTCAATTGTGTACATGGGCCTGTCATTATCTAGCTTCCCTTTTCAGCTCCTGAAAATACTCCTTGTTTGTCAGTTCGATCTTTTTTCACAGGGCTTTGCATCTAACAGTAATGCTTATCCTGTCAGTTAAATTCTTGGCTCCAGCAGAGCAGAAATCATTTGTTTTTAATCATGTCTGACATTAGCTCTAAAGGTACCTTAGGTGAGCACAGACTTCTGATGAGCTTACCTGTGTAAGCTTATGATGTAGTGAACACAAGTTTTCAGCTGCAAGACATTAAAGTTATTTTGAAATACGCTAAGTACAACGTTAGTAACTATGCTGTGCTGTTGTCTTGGTACTGTTTACTAATTTTAGGGGCAGCTGGATTGCAATTTAAGTGTATTCTACATTAGATACAAGATGAATGAACTAAGAAAATTAGGGTTTGGTATGTTTGAGATAAGATTCTGTATCTTAATATATGCTGAATTTACATGTAACGGTCTCCATGTGTGGTTGATATCACTGTGATATCTATATTTTGGTTTTGTCATGACTGGTTTGTCATTTGTTTTTGTGCAGGAAATCTTGTTGGATAATTCTGTGTTGGTAGGTCCCTGTGCCTTGTTAATCATAAACTTTTGCTGTTTGCAGTGGTGGTTTTTATTTCATCTTTTATCTTTTCCTTTTAACCGTTTTAATGTAATTTCTTTTAGCATGTCAAGCAACATTTGATTGTCATCCTAACCAGACCCTTCCTAACTTTCTGCAGATGGCAGACATACATTTCATTTATGTGCTTAGTGAGGCATAATTTTGTTTTTAACATGTTAAGCACAGAAAGGGAACTGTTTGTTCATTTAAGTTTGTATGTGATGCTTGCATTTTGTGTCTGTTATTTAGTCTTGTCCCCTGCTTAGAATGTGGGAGAATGAGAGCAATAAAAAATGTGCATCTTGCGTTATTCAGTAGCTTGAATTGGATCCTCTTGTTTTTTCCCTATCAAAAACAAGCACGGAATTTATGCATGTCCAACTTGAAGTAGCCTGCTTGTCTAAGTGTTGCATTAAAACTTGTTTTTACAGTTTCAATTCAGGTATCTTGTGGACATACTTAGTCAGGTTTCTTTTCTTTTAGCAGAATTATGCAAAGAATGTATCTTTGTGTGTATTAAATATGTAATTCAGAGTCTTGAGGATTCATGAGCATGCACAGAAATTTGGAAGACAAAGCTTAGTTTTGTTAACATAACAAAGCTGAAATTCTGTGTCACTCTTTTTGTCCTTAAGTTGTTCGTTGTTCTTTTTAACTGTATGTTAACTAATATACATTAATCATTTTGACTAACATATATTGACCTGCTGCTGACAATGAGGAGCATGACCTTACTGCAAGGTTTCCCCACAGCAGACACTCAGCTCTGTCCATTTTAAGGATGGTGACAGCTAAGGGCACACAATTGCTTAGTTGTAGAGAATAATTTTTTTTGATGATAACCTAAGCTTCATTTAAAAGAAGCTACTTAAATATTGCCTGGCCATGCAGCTGGTTCATGGTATCTTTGGGATCCCCTTCAGAATGTTCTTAAAATTGAAAGCAAGCAATTAAAAATCAGAAAGCTCCGCTCTAACAAAAAAACCTTGAGGCTGTGTCTTGGATTTTTTCAGTGTTTTTCCTTGTTCCTGTAATAATGAATCTCTTGTCTGTATTTTTTAGCATAAAAAACACATACTGGCCTGGTGGTGTTAAAAATACGGTGATGCTATAAACTTTTTTGCTAGAAGCTGCTCAGGAGAGCTGACTTGTCTCGGTGTGGTATATTCACCAGTAACTCTCACCCTTCCTCTCACCTTCTGTACAACGTAATTTAATGTGATCTGAGTATATAATATTTTTTGCAATGAAATTGCAGCAGTGCTCTCTTTGCCCTTTCTTATAAACTTCCTTTCATGCATGGAGTTCAGATTTGCTAAAGCCTGATTGACTGTCTCGCCCGTGGTTACATTGTCATTTCTCTTGTTACATCTGAGGACAATTTGAATAATTTTCTCTTGCACTGAGTTTTCAAGCCCATTATATATACCCTGTAGTCCAGGAATAGAGTAAATTTTTCATTGAGACCACGATTCAGCTGTCATTAACGTTAGTGGGGGGTCTTTCTACCGACATTGGTGGGAGTTGGATCCAGCCCCAAACCAGTCTTGTAAGTTACCTTTGGAGAGAAAATGTTAAAAGTATCAATATGTTAAAATTGGTTACAGGAGTGGCAAAACTTTTCATTTGGGATTAAAAAAAAAAAAAAAGCTGAGCAGAAATAGCATCAGTTACATGCTTACTGACTTCACAGATTTATCATAACTGTAATTGTTCAGAAAATACCCGCCTGACTAAGGTGTTGCTATAAAGGTTTGTTAGTCATCTTACTGTTTCTTCTTGCATGTTCCAGGTGAATCTCTGTAGCTCATACTTATTATTGAGACGTGCGGTGGTAGCTTGTTTACGTCAGCTTGTGCAAAGAGAAGCTGCTGAGGTGTCAGAATATGCTGTTGCATTAGTTAAAGAGAGCAGAGAAGATTTTACTCCAGGTAACGTATTGAAGTTTTGAGATCAAAGAGCTTGACACAGTGATAGTGAATTTTAAACACGCTCTGCTATGGGTATGAAAACAGTGCTACGTTCTTGAAATCTTTAACTCAGAAAGGTATTCTGCTTCAGTTATCTACATTGTACCAAATTATGGAAGCATCCAAACCCTTTTTTGGTGATAAAATGAAGATACTATTGTTTTTCATATACTGTAGATAGTAAGAGTCACTAAATGAGAAAATGCAAGTGGAGTTCCAGAGAAACCTAAGCCTTTCTAGCCAGTAGCTGTTGTAGTAACTGCTTCATAGTCCTGTCTTTTACACGCATATTCATAGTTTTATTTTCCCATGTAGATCTCTTCTTAAATTAAAAATCTCTCATTGAGAGAACAAAACCTATTGAAGAAAGTTTCTGTTGACCTCTTTGGAGAAATAGTTAAGTAATGATCAGCTGGGGTCCCTAGAATTTTTAACTTCCTAAAGGTTTGAGTTTTTTGCTAAAAGGCCTGAGAATGATCATTAGTTCATCCATGTGCCTTCCTGGGAGGGGATGGTGGTAATAAGTGATTTCAGTTTGGATTTCAATTCAAGCTCATTTGGAAATTTTCAGAAAAGATAGGCTATAGCCATTTTGTAAAACTACTGATTTTAAAAATTGATTGTATTCATTTAACAAATTATTTCCATGTGTCTGGTTTTGAGCTTTGTTGGAATATAATTTTAACTTCCCTTTCAAGTTAAAACATTGTTTTAGAATTACCCTATGAGTCAGTGTGAAGAATCAGGTGGCCAAAAATAATTTTTTTCAGGAGCTCAGATGCTATGGTGGTGGTAATGCTGTGAAATTCAGAGTAGGATTTTTTTTTTTTTCCTGGGGTAAATTTCTTCTCATTAGTATGTTTCTGTAAAAGTTCAAAGCTTGTTTTGTACTCAGGTGATTTAGGTATGATATTATAGCAATTAATACTATTATTTAAGAAGTACTTCAGGGCTATATGCTTATTCAGAAGATACTTGGTGTGCAACCTTCAGTGGGGTTTCTGTGGTTATTACTGCAGTTATGTGATGTACAGCATTCGGCTCACAGACTTTGTTCTTAGCAGATGTTAACATCAGAGAAATAGGACTGGAGGGGGCATTGCTGGGCTTGCTGGACAAGGAATTGGATCAAAGATTGTGCCAAGATATCAGAGAGACTCTGACTCATATGCTTACTTCAATGGCGGTTGAAAAGCTCTCTTTTTGGCTAAAGCTTTGTAAAGATATTCTTGCTGCCTCAGCTGGTAAGTCCTAATACACTGTAGTTGAGAGTACAATGGAAATAAGGCCTGCAGCAGTGCAGTATGTCACTGAGGGAAAGTATTCTTGTTTCTTGAATGTTTGACATTTACGAAGAGTATCGTCATCCTTCATACTGAAACAGTGGGCCCTTTAACTTAGTTCTTTCATAAGCAATATGACCCTCCCTTCTGATTGCCTTTTCCCTAGATAGTAACTAGAACAAGTTTTTCCAAACATCTTAGTATGTCTTGCCTGTTCATATTCTTCTTGATTTGTATTTCATAATGTTAACTTATTTCCATATCAGAAATTAAAATGCAGAATACATTTGAGCTTGTGGGTCCTGTGCAATTACCTATAAGAAAAATATTCAGACCCTCTCTTGTATTAATAATAGGAATGATGCAGACCTACTATATCATAATGAAACTCATAAGCAGATAAAATTAATTACTGTGCTGAGTATTGAGGGGGAATCTCTTCTTTTACCTGCAGTGCAGGAGGAAAGCTTCTTGGATTTAGATTTTTTTTTTTTTTTTTTTTTTTAATGTGGAAAGGTACTAGCTTCTAACTTACTTTAAAAGGTGGGGATTTTTTCTTTCACTTCTTTCACTGTAGTTTTTCATTTACTTTCATGGTCTTGATCTTGTCTTCCAACAAGTAATATCAACCAAATGCAGATTGTTTAACAAAACATTGTAACAACATTTTATTTTTAATTCCAGCATTTACTTTAAGACACCAAGGTTGAACGGAGTCATAGTGAGTTGAGGGCTAGAGATGGACTTTGAAGAAATTTCCTTATGAGTCCTTCTGTAGTTTTCAGTTACAGTAAGAAAGAATATTACATTTCTTCTTTTTTTTTTCCTCCTGTGTCCTAAATACAGATTTCAATACAGTAGCTTCAGTAGATACCACTCAAGAAGAGGAAACTTCGAAAGTGGATGATGCATCTATATTAACGTCTGACAGCGATGAGAGGTTCCATCCTTTCAGTAATCCACGGTGGTCTACCAGAGTTTTTGCTGCAGAGTGTGTTTGTAAAATTATAAGCCAGTGTGAAAATGCAGGCAGTGCACATTTTGACATAACTTTGGCTCAGGAAAGAAAACAACGTGATTCAAGGGGTATGTGTTAAGCGCTGAAAGAATTTCACAGAATGCAAAGTATGCTTAAAATAAATGTTAGCTCTTTGTATCTTAATGAGATTCATCATAAATTTATTGTTTGTGATCACCGAAACCTTTAATTACTCTGATTATAAGCCTATATTTATTAAGGTGTCGAGCAATTTTTATTTGGCAAAATATTGGCATATTACTGCAGCATTTACACTCATTTTCCTGGTTATAGTACCATGGCATATGCATAGGAAGCCATTTTTTCTGCATAAGCACTGACAATCAGAAGTGATAGCTAGCACCAGCCTACAACATCACAGTTTAGTATCTGCGAGTATGACTAAAAAACTCCACTTTTTTTCTTTCCATAATTTGCATAATTACCAGTAGAAACACAGTGCCAATTTTCAGCACCGCTCTATGGTTATCTGGATGTGTTTTCCTCAAAACTCTTTTTTAGAAAATCTGCCTCATACATAAAGATATTTATGCTTTATTCTAAGGACCTTTTTTTTTAAGAGCCTAGATCAGCTAACGTAAAATGTCCAAGTAAGATATGTATAAGCTGACTTAAGTGAGTCCTTGATATGTGGTAAGGTAAAATGTAAAATATATGTTTTGAAAATGTTGGGAGCAGTCCTATAAAATATATTCTGTCTAAATTTAAATTTAATAAAACTATTTTCTTTTTTCATTTCTGTTTTCTCTTCAGATGACTTTTTGGTATTGCATTTAGCTGACTTGGTCCGTATGGCTTTTATGGCTGCCACAGATCACAGTGATCAACTTCGTCTTTCTGGGCTTCAGACATTGCTAATTGTTGTTCGGAAGTTTGCAGCTGTTCCAGAACCAGAGTTTCCAGGTCATGTAATTCTGGAGCAATATCAAGCCAATGTAAGCATCACTGTTAATAACTTACAAGAGTTTAGAGTTACAGTTAATCACTAAAAGAAATATACTTTTTGCAGTTTGTGAGGTTTCCGTTAGTTTGGGTTTCAGTTAGTTTATTACTGAAACTGTTATTAACTTCTTTGGGCTTAACTTGTCTAGAAAGCATCTTTTCAGTTGGCATATAATGTTTTGGCCCAAGAGTCTTTCAAGTTTCATCATTTTTCCTCTTCCCTATTTGAATACAGCAAAAAGAAATTAGAACATTGGGTTGTGTGGGTTTTTTAAAGCATTGGTTTCAAAGTGTAGAAATATTGCAAGAAATATTAAGAACAACTATAATTTAAAACTCTGCTTAGAAGTAAGTAGCCTTTGCACACCAGAGATCACACGAGAACATCTTGGTCAGTAAATAAGCTAGGGGAGGTTAAAAGCATGGGTTGTACTCACAGGGTCTGTTTCAGTTAAGTCTTGGTTGAGACTTACAGAAAAGATGTCCTGATCATTTTGCATTCCAGACTGCACTTGTGTTAAATATGGCAGGCAGCTGTGTTAAGCCTCATCTGGCTGCCATTCTTCAATTTCTAGCAGTCATTGAACAAGTCAGATCGCTTTCTCTCATAGAAATGAAGACATCCTGACATTGAAGACATCCTAACCCACTTTGATCTTGCTTTTGCCGTTAAAATTCTGTGCTACTGACACTTCTTTGTGGGAAAGGAGAAGTGTCTGGGTAGTCTGGAACTACCAAGGGAAAAAAATTACACCATCTGTCTTTGCTGTCCAAAACCATCAAGCAGGTCACGAGTGGAGCTGATAATTTTCCTTTTAACCTCCACTACCCTTAAAGTGTTTCTGCTAATACTCTGCATAGATCTTCTCATCAACTGTTTCATAGAACTTGAAGAAATGTGAAGCAGTTAAATATCTAGTCTTTTTCTTGCCAATTTTTTTTCCATAACAATAACCAGAAAAAGATGGATATAGGTTTTCTGGACTTAAGTAATGGTTTCCTGAAATTCAGAAGTTCAGAAGTTACTCAAATGAAGTCTGAGCTTTAGGGGTTCTTAATAAACTGTCATTAATTGTCATTAAAACTAACTCCTTTCCACTTATTTTTACAAACTTGTATTTCTAGTTCTTGTACTACACTTTGTACTTTCATCCCGAAGAGCATCAGACCTAAGTCTGAGTTTTCAGATATCAGCTAAAGCAGCAAGGGAAATTTTTGTTAGCCTTTAGTGAAATAGCTTTCAACAGTGAGAGTAGGAAAAATCTCTGCAACCGGATAAGTGTATGTTTGCATGTTCTTTATTAGGCAAATGGGGTTTTTGCTTTCCCCTTCTTTCACTTTGCAAAGTTGACCAACTTCAGCTGTTCGTTTCCTTAAATCTGTATTCTTTCTGAGTAAGGAAATGTCACTCATTAGGTGGCTTGCAAGTCTTTCATGGTTTGGAACATTGGTTTTTCTTTTGAGTGCTGCTCATCAAGTCAAGAATTCAGGAAGGAAGAGGCTTCTGTTTCAGTTTTAGACTGTGCAAAAAATAGAATCAGCTTTAAAGGCTCCTCTCAAAGAGAACCATGTCTTCAGTGTAAGCAAAACAAAACAGTGAAATATGACTGCAACAATCTCCTTGCTCTTTAACCTCACTGAAACAGTCCGTGGAAAAATGAAAAGGAAACTGCTTTATGAAGGAAAACTGCAACAAAGCCTGCTTATGAAAAGTAATTATTTAGTTAACTGTTCACTGTGTTAAATGTTGTATAACTTCTCTTTAGGTTGGAGCAGCGCTTAGGCCTGCCTTTGCTCCCGAAACTCCTCCTGATGTCACAGCAAAAGCATGTCAGGCAAGTGTTGAAAGTCAGAAGTCTTACCTAACAGACTGTCTGAAATTTTCTTTTTGTTTGATGTGCCACACAAGAAAAAGGAAATAAATCCTCTAGCCTCAAATCCTCAATGCACACAGAATAATGTCACCCGTGTTACCTCTATACTGTAACAACTCAAAGATTTTGTACACTTTAAAATCTTTTGAGAAACTTTGTAGAAGCTGATACTCTGGTTGTTATTTTTGACATCTCTCTAATGTTTTTGGCTTTCATTACTTCCATCTACTAAACTGTAATGTCATTTAACATTGATTATTGCCTGAGAGTAACTGTATCTCAGTAGAAATTAAATCTGTGTTTCATAATTTTACAGATGGAAAAAAAGAGTGTCCAGTGGTGTTTGGCTCTTGTTTCTTATTATTTCTCTTTTACAACACTAGGTATGCAGTGCCTGGATAGCAAGTGGTGTAGTGAGTGATCTTAATGACCTTCGAAGGGTTCACCAATTGCTTGTATCCTCTTTGGTCAAAGTGCAGGCTGGGAAAGAAGCACAAAGTCAACAATATAATGAAAGCACCTCAACTATGGAGATACTGGCTGTGCTTAAGGCTTGGGCAGAGGTTAGTGTAACAGCTCTGTAATGACAGTCTTGATATCTGGTAGGTGAGGTAAAACCTTTCAGACAGAATGGTTTCAGGAATTTCTTACATGCCTCATTAAATGGAAGTTGCTGGTCCTTTGCTTTGATACCTCTAAACAGTACATGAACTTTGGAGTCTTGATAAAAGCACTGCCAGTGAAGCTGTTTGTATTATACTGCACATTAAGAAATATGCCCAGTACTTAAGAAATATTAATTTCTTAACATGTTCTAATATTTCAATATTAAATTTAAATTGGCCTGGTATAAATGGCTGGTCCACTGAATGTACCATTTAAATAGGTGTAATTTTTCTCGTTGTCTGTTGGCATTTAATTTCTTACAGGTAGTTCTTGTATGTTAACACTGTCGGTTCAGTACTGCACTGGCTGACTTCCTTAAAGTCAGCTCATGCGAACACCTGTTTTAATACACATGAACGCAAGGTTAGATATTTAAAAATAAAAAATGTGAACGATGTACATAGTATCTAGAAGATACAGTGTCTTAGAAAGCATTGATAGTGACCTTGGATGCTGATGGTTGATAACCAGCTCAGTATGAGCATGTTATGTAGTTAATATGATATTTCTGTCTATAACCAGACAGCTATTTTGAAGGAGAAAGCAGACAATAGATAGCTTTTATGTAAACATTTGTAGAAAAATATACCAACCTCTGGTGTCCATACTTGAGAAAAGATACTGGCAAAATAGGAAAGCCATTGGAGAAAAGCTATCAAGTGGGAATAAAAACCTTGAATATATGCTTACACCGAAAAATTTAAGTAGATCAGTCTATTTAATCTATTCAGGAAAAGATAAGGTGCTGTGACCAATATAAGATCATTATATGGAGAAAAGGTTTTTAATGGCATATAACAATAACCTGTCACTGGTCAGGAGCTGAGACAAAATTCAGACTAGATGTGAGGCTCAGCTGGAAGAAGTGAAGATCTGTAGATTGTTCCAGTCTATAATTAAAGATCACTAGAAGTCCTCAAAGCAAACTCTGTATAACTTTCTACTGGATCTGGGATGTGAGAAACTCTGCCAAAGTAAGCTGGGGATGAGCTTTTTGTGACCTGTAATTTACAAAGATTTCACTTAAGCCCTAGGCAGTTCCTTCTCACTTAGGATCTCACCTATTTCTTGTTTCCAGAATTTGAAGGAATTCCCCCATCCTGTTGTGGGGAGAGGGGCTTGGTTGGTGCTTAGTTACTGGCCTGGGTCAACCCACTACAATTAGCAAACTTGAAAAAGATACAGAAATCATAATTGCAGGAGACGGATACTCACAAAAGCTCACTTCAGATGAGTTGAACTGGTCTCCTATGTCTCCTTTATAGTTGGGGAAAAGTGCTTCCCTCCAGGGGCATTTTGGAGAGACTAAAGAGGACTGTTTGTCTGAAACATTCTCAAGCCTGTCTTTTTCAATAACAAGAGGCATG